TCCCTATGGTACATTTTAGTGCCTTGCTCGAGGAAAGGAAACATGTTAACAGTCTCTCTAAACATTAATGAGAAGTCCATTTGTCTCGTAATGTAGTGCAATCTCCTATCACTGCCTTGTTATATCCATAGTTATTACAAGACAACCTGCAGATGTCTTCTCTAACACCTGTTATTAACTGATACACCCTTTGATTCACACTCCTTTTGGATGAAATAGGTCTCCTTTTCCACATCTCGCTCACTGTTTTCCCATATTTTCTTTATGGCTCCTCTCATGTCTGTACATTTGAGTCCAAACAGGGCATGAACGCTTATCACTCATTACACACACACACACACACACACATTACTATATAAAGCTCTGTAAACATGCAGTCAGACTGCTGTGTGTGTGGGCATGACCATAACTAGGAAAGCTTGCACTGCAACTTTCTTATTCTCTCATAAGACACTTGTAGAGAAATACTCTGTTACATAAAGAACTTTTTATGGCTCATTTTCTCTGAGTCATAATATCGTCGTGTCACTGTCTCACTAGTCCATTAAGGTTTCAAAAACACGAGCCGTCTGGTCAGTGCTAAATACAAACGTGGTCATGAGTCTGTGTGATCCTTTTTTTTTTTTTTGTGGGTCGTTTGATAGTTGGTCCTGACAAAAGGCAAACTCTTGCAAAGTGACGTGGAAAATCCAAGCTCCTTTGTGCAGCTAAGAACTCAATAAGTATCACGCAGTAGTAACACAAATGTGTCTGTATGTGTTATAGGTCCAGTGATAGGGGAGTTTGTGAGCCAGCTGATGCCTCTGCTCCAGACCTGCCTCAAACCAGACAAAGACCCAGAAATGAGGATGAGCATCTTCACAATGCTTGCCAAGTTACTCGTGGACGCAGCCAACACAGTGGATTCCCAGGGGTGAGAGGGACATACATGCACACATTCACTTAGAAACAGACACACAAGCTCACACACAGAGCAAGGTAAACTATGAAACAAATATAGGAAGGAAATGTCAGTAATTTGAATGATTACTGGCTGGTGATGGAGGTGAGAGAGGAGAGATGTCTGGTACATGGGAGAGGAGCTCCTGTTTGCTACCGTCCTCCTCTGTGACAACCCCCACCCACACACACATTCTGTCCAGGGTTTCCTCTGAGTCCTCAGCTGTGCGGTCTTCAGCCTGGGCTCACAGCCCTAATCTGAGGGAACGCATTAAGTCTGAGGCCTGTCCCAGATCCTGGCGATCACAGCAGCTGCTCCTATCGATCAAGAAGAAAAAATTGTCCATGGGTTGCCATGGAGACATCTGTCCAGCGTGTTTCTAACGCTGTCTCACTAGACCTGCAGCCAAAAAGCCTGTAAGAGTTGGTAGCTGCTTCTTTTGGATAATATGAGGAACAGACTGTTAGCCTTTGTGTGCTGAGATCTTTTTCTTGAACCTGGCACCAGTGTAAAGAATACTGCACAAAATAAGGTGCTTGTCAGTGAATTATGCCAGATAAACAACAAAAAGTGGTCTCAAGCCAAAACATTGTGCCAGCTTTGCCAAAATCTTCATCCTCCATCAGATGATTTTATTCATAAATGTGCATATTAGACAAAAGAGGTCTTTCTCTTTCCCACTTACCATGCGGCCACCTGTGCTGCTCACTGTTGCCCTTGTTCCTGAGCTCTGTCTCTGATAATCTCAGAACCATCAGGACACAGAAATCATGTTACACCTTCAAAAGGTTTCAAACAAATGCTTAACTTATACTATGTGGGGCAGTCTTTCCATAATATTGCCATTCCTACTCATCTCATCCTTCTATTTATGATTTGCACAGAAGTGTCATCAAGAGGACAATGATAGTCATAGAGAAAACCTCTTCTCTTTGTTCTACAACCAAAAGAACTTAATGACAGCTCCACTATAGAAGCAGAAAGAGAAAGTGGGTTTGTGTGCATGTAAATGCCTTTCATCCACACATACACACATACGCATAATGTTTTTCTTTCATGTGGATTTGTGTGCTGTGATTAAAAAGCTGGATGTGAAATCTAAGAAGGTGATGTGTGAGAAATGAAAGTTCACATATTTTCCCCTAGATTTTGGAAATCGTGCCATTTGCAGACGAGATATGGGGTGCTTTCATACATTTACTGTATGAATTACAAAAGGCATCTGTGCATCTGTAAAACACAGCCTTAAAGGTGCATTAAGTAGGATTTCCCTCAACGTCTGATGAACCAAATGGAAACGGGACAGGGTGTAGTGTCTCTCAGCTGTATTGCCCTCCTCTATGACACTGCCAGCTGCAGCCATTCTCTCGTTTTTCCAGCTTCTGTACCTGGTGGTGTTGAAATCCGGTCCATAAATGAACCCCACCTGCCACCGAGCAAAATGTGTGTGAAACATTTTTCTGAACCGTTAGTAGAAATTTCAACCAACCACCAGCCACATCGGACTTCTCATCAGCTGAAAGTCTGAACCAGTGTCTGCAAGACCGAAGAAGCCGTGTTCTTTAGCACAGAGAGATTGGGGCAAAGAAAGAGCAAAAACCAGGGTTACCATCAGTTTGGCTTTTTGAGATGGAGAGTGTTAAAAGCAGCCAAATGACTCAAATTTGATACAGATGTGGCACCATTCCTATGGATGCATTTGTATCTAAACGTGTTTGTTTTGGTAATATTAGCGACCTGGCATGGTCATGGTTTTTACCTTTGTATTAAGTCAATATTATTTCAATCTGGTGGTAATTGAATCTTTGTGTGACATTAGTGGTTTGTGACACATCAGCAGTAACCAGAGCATTCTACTCATGGTTTTACTGGATTTCCACATTCACTTGTTAAGCTGCTAATACAGCTTCAGACTGAAGGCTGCATTTTGTACAGCTGTTGCAAACAGGGCTCCATGGTTTGTCACAGTTTTAGGAAACAGGATGGGTGAGGCAAAGAGTGCTGAGGAGTGGTTTCTGGTGTGAGTTTGTTTTGAGCATCAATAGACAGGTAGAGCACCTTTAAATAACTAATTTTGCTTGAATAAATTATAAAGTTTTATAGAAAAAGTACATGTTCATAACATAATTTAGTTGAAATCTGATCATCAGTACTCTTCCCTAACCGGTCCTATTTGATGGCAAACTCAGTTAGTTGTTAAGAAATAGAAGTTGTGCTGTGAGAAAGAGCTGTGAGTGAGAGTAACCCTTACAGAAGCACAGTCAGCTCCACTGTGTAGAGGCCCATGAGATGTGTACAGTCAGAATTCCCTGGCATTTTCTGTATTTGTGTGTGTGTGTGTGTGTGTGTGTGTGTGTGTGTGTGTGTGTGTGTGTGTGTGTGTGTGTGTGTGTGTGTGTGTGTGTGTGTGTGTGTGTGTGCGCAGTGATTCAAGCGAACAGTAAAATCCTCATCTTTTTTCCCATGGACATCATCCCTGTAATGTGGAAATATGTTCTTCCATCTTCTGGCATCATTCATGATGAGCTTTCAATACTTGTCAAGATGAAGACACTGAGCTAAGGCAGCAGCACAGACCTGGCTCTATTAGTGGCAAACAGTCTCCCCCTGCTGGCACTGACATGTTAGAGCATACTCTTGGAAACACACGGCAAGTTTACTGTGACACCAGCAGAACAGGCCAGAGGACAGATGCAACTGCCAGAGCTTGTAGAGCTGATTTGGTGCAAAGAGCAGTGGAGAGTCTGTGTTAGAGGAGCAGGGAAAGGAGGACATCTGGATGTTGCACTCCTCGTCTCCTGCATCCACTCCACTGTCCCCCACCTCCACCTCTTCTGCCTTAGAAAGTGTGGGAAAATGACTGCTGTATAGGTGTTGTCTAGCAGTTGCATATAAATTCAGCAGACACATTACGTTCCCAGTAGTCGCCATTATTTGCTTGTCCTCAACTACTATTAGATACACAATATGGGTTTAGTTGTTGTAGTTGTTAAAGTTTATAAATGCCTAAAGCCTCCCACAGAAACGTCTTTCTCTGCTCCAGTATATTTTTACTTCCTGCCTTCCTCCAGACATTTCCGTGATGAGTCGGAGAAGTTCCTGTGTGATGTGCTGCTCCCTAACTTGGTGTGGCACGCAGGTCGCACCGCCGCTGCCGTCCGCACCTCAGCCCTCAGCTGTCTGCTGGCCCTCCTGCATGGAGGAGCCATCGCACCTGGACAGGTACACACATAAACAAACACTTGAGAGATGACATCTACAAATACATCTGCACAAAGGCAAATGTGACACACTGGTTACATCTGTTTCCACCTATGCAAAGGGACCCATAAGCACTGGAAGCAAACACCAGATGTGAACCTCCTCCAGTAGCGCTGTATGTACTCCTGATCTCCAGTCTGCAGAAACACTTTTTATTGACTCAGCTGTAAAAGAAAGATGTGGTAGTGCATTCTTCTCATCCATTAGGAGCTGACATTTGTTTTCTAATTCTCTGTTTTGTCCATTTCGCATCAAAATATATAGTCCCAGTTGGCCATCTAAGAAAATATATCCACCATTTTTCTCTCCTTGGCTAAAAGACTTGGCCAAAGCAGGTAGCAGGTGTACGCGGGGGCGAGTGGGTTCACATACCTTGGTCCCTGAGGAACAATGCTTTCACTTTTCTAGGACCTTGTTATGTGTAGGAACTATCAGCGGGACATGCTTTTGCACCTGCCTGTTGGAGCCTGTGCCCAGCTACCGTGTGTGTGTGTACTCACACAAACACACACAACCATCTGGCTGTGTTTGTCCTCTCATGTGCAGAGTGACCACTTAAAACTGGTGCGCACACCACCTCTTTTTGCACATCTTTACTGTAGCTACAAGGCAAAGGAAGCAGCTGGGGGACGATGTGAGTATGGGTGCGGGTGTGTGATCAAACCTTTACCCTCCATTGACATCCGAACCTCCCCGCAAGAACAGAAAAGCTGGAAAAGTGGCCACTACATAGGACTGAGCTTTGAAATTAGGTTACAGTTGAGATGTTCTAAACATTTCCTGATGAGTATAACAACAGAAGGTTATGGGGTTATTCCACAAAACAGCCTTTCATTTAGAAGGACATTGTTTTCTCAGGACTCACTGTGAAAACATTTAGCAACCCCAGTGAAACATGACACCCCCAGATTATCACTGATGTAATGCCGGATCACTTCTCTGCCAAATTTTCCTCCCCTTGTCTTTTTCTTTCCTACTTCTCATTCATGATAATTAAGTAAATTGAAATCACACATTTTAGAGATGGTTTTGGAAATTAAAGCAAGTGGCTGCGTCGATGCAGCCTCAAAAGCAGCCACACATGCAAGTTCATGGCCTCTAGGAGTACATTCTTTACAATTGTGGAAATGGAAAAAAATGACACTACTTTAACAAGAAAACCACACTTTTTAATTAACTAGGGACATGATTTCTCCTTAGGTATTGTTGACTTGTATTAAACCCCTGGACAAACTGTGGGATTGTCATTTAGTGCTGGTCTCTTTTCTGGTGCAGCTGCTGTGTCTAGAGCAGAAGCTGAGTCCCCAGGTTTTCTCAGCTCTTGAAGAGGACTCTCAGATGAGCAGGCTGTTGGCTTCTCGCTCTCTGTCCACAATACTCAGATTGATAGGAACGAGTCTGCACCCTGAGGCCCTCAACAAGATCTATCCTGGTAAAAGACAAACATTCTGTCATAGTGCACACTGACATTTACATGTACACAGTTAATTCTGTATTATTGCATATCACCATTTTAGTATGAATTAATACACAAGAAACCTTTTCTGATATTCAAAGTAACTGTTAATGCCTGGTACCACAGTTGTGTTAATAGAAAACTGATCCTCATATTAGCAAAAAATGATAATAATGAGGATTCAAAACTAAAAGAAGCTAATTTTATTTTTGTGATAGTAAATTTTGTGTGTGGGTATCTTTCCTCTGTAGAGTTATTGAAACGTCTGGACGACAGTAGTGAGCAGGTGCGTGCTATGGCTCTGCAGACCCTGGGGCTATGGCTGTCCTGTCTGACCGAAAGCTACAGCCCTGAGCTCTACGCTCCTCACCTGCAGCTCTTCTTCCAGCAGCTCCTCCTACACCTGGACGACCCTGACAGCTCGGTACAGGACCAAGTGCTAGGTGAGACTGAGTGGGGAGTTTGAACCTCTAACCTCAAAGATAAAGATTATAGATAGTGATGATAGGTGAGGGCTTAACTGGTGGAAATGCACATGTTGTTGAAGCTGGTTGTAAAAATGAATACTTCATCTGGATCTTACTGACAGGAATATGAAACATCCTCAAGCACGTGTACTGAATATGACTTGAAATGGTGATGGGATATGAGCCTTATGGCCTTGATTATCTGATAACGGCTGATATAGATAGTAAAGATGATGATGTGAATGTGAGGCTGTGAGTTTAGATTTGATGATTTGCAGACCAGCCTGCTGTGTCTGAGACACTCACGGAGGGATAAGAAGAATTGGGAGTATCCTCTATCAAACACTAGGTTATTGTACTGGCTCACTTCCAGCAGATTCCCCCCTGTTCTTTATATCAGAAGCACACCATTATTCATCTTTTCCATGCAATTGATCACCAAGAGCGACTTGAGCAATTCTCCCTGCTAAAGCCTGTTAAAGGTGGTGGTGGTCCTCACAAGTGAAGCAGAAAATCCTGGTATGGATAAGTGCCCACCTGAGAGAGATGCTTCACAGGTTAATATGTTTGTCCTATCATCTGTATAATTTCCCTGCCAGTACACCTGGTTAGACTGGGTCATCTGTGTGGCTGCCTGTCCACCCAGAGTCTCCCTCCACAACAGTCCCACCTAATGACAACCACATGGGAACCCCCTTTCCTCCCCACCACCTTCCCACATCTGTCCTCACAACCATCCTGCTTGATCCTTCTGTCTTTTATTTGTCCATCTGTTTTGCTGCTTGTATAACCAGTGTTTTCAGTGACAGCCCAGTAGCTTCACAGCTGTGTTTTATTGGAGTATTAATGGAAAGTCTGAGTAGCTTTTCTTGAAGTATGTAACCAAGACTCTGCTCCTCTGGACTTTCACTCACTCCTACTCTCATGGATGTTAGCTGTCATTACTTCTGACAGGACACAGGTGAGCGCTGATGCCTTAGCCAGCGATGAGGTGCCTGAGAAGGCATTTATACGCTCAATGCATGCAGCTGTAGTTTTCATACCATGAATTCTAGCTCTGCAGGACAGCTTTTAAAGACTTCCAAAGACAAAATGCATTTTCTGTTGTGGCCATTGGTTATCAAGTGTCTGTAACCTTGACAGCAGAAGGAAGAACACATGTAAACCAACTTTATGAACCAGCCTTTGCCCACATACTGTATGTATATATTTCTTGCAGTTGAGTGATTTTGTATGTTCTGCATGTGTATTTTAGGGATTCTTTCTGAACACCTACATGCTAATACAGTGTCTGCCCCCATGCAACGTAAAGATAAAAACATTATGTGTAGCCCAGTTCTTCAAACTGTCTTTGTGAAATGAGAGAACCTCACAGTGATAGCTTGTATCTGACAGCACCCATGACTGCCTTCACCGCAAATGTGGAAGCGTTCCTCCCTCTAATGCATGGCTCTGTTTGAAGCCCTCTTTTTCCCTCCCCACTCACTTTCTTCCTCTCTATCTCTCTCTTTGTTCCTTTAATAGTAGATCTCATTTTTATGCTTCTTGGATTTCAAACACATATCTGTGAAGTGGCTTGATGTCTGCAGCATGTCCTGACAGCATGATGGACGCCCCCCACCGCCCCCTCCCTCTCATCCCTCCTCCTATCACTCATTCAGTCCTCCGCTCTGGTAATCCCACCATCCTGGCGGTGCGGCTGCTACCTGCTCAATCACACAAGACTGTTGGCACAAGCATAACTCACTTCTCACAAGTCATCATTGTTCTCCTTTAATTCACCGTCCTACCTCCCCTTCCTCCATCCCAGCTGAGTGCAGTATACACAAAAGCTAAAAATCCCCTCCAACTCCTTGAACAACAAAGGCGGGTATCAGGTGATGAGTTTACATGAACTAACTCATCCAGAGTGACAGCATGTCACCACTGGAACAGCACTTCTTCACGGTGGTTTCCGAAGCATTTATCCACGGATAATAATTCAACTAACTCTCTATACATCGGCAGAAGGTGTAGAAATGACTGCTTGGACAGAGAATTATTGCCTCCCACTGGAGGAAAAGGGTGTTTGTACTGTTTGAGTTGTAGAGTGGATGTAGTGTAGTTCATCACTGCCATCTGCTGGTCTTCAGACTTCTGGCAAACTTCAAATCAGTAGCTTCAAATCAGAAACTAAGCACATTCAACCTGGATGTGCATGTGCCTGCTGCAGGCTATTTGAATACTTGTTTCCCTGAAATAAATATGAGTGCACAGAACAGGTGGAACTAAGTACAAATAAAATCACATCCTTAAGACTCCTTCAGTGGTGGAATACAACTATGAATACATTTACTACAGAACTAAATTTGATTGAAACAGGATGTTAGAAAACAGTGTTTATATTTTGTTCGGTTAGAGTTCTTTTAATATAAAATACTTCACTTAGTGCAGTTTTTGATGGAGGTGAGTATACTCAGACTAATTGTCCTTTCTCATCACATATCTTGAATGCTTACTTACATATGCTTTTGGACTTTGGGTTGTGTGTCTAGAGGTCCTGAAGAAAGGCAGCTCTGTCCACCCGGCTCTTCTGAAGAGTGAGGTAGAAGCAGTGAGAGACAAACATCGGAGTCCTCTCTACTGTGACCAGTTGCTCCAGCACATCGGCTAAACAGCACATCGGCCCGCTGCCCATGGAGGCCGCCACAGACTGTCCTGAGTGAAACATACAAGGCAAATGTAGAGGCTGACATTTGTGCATTCCTTGAAAGAATGTTCACTTTCTGGTTATCAACCCCAGTTGTATAGTTATTTATAACAGCATTTCAAATTACTATGGAGTATTTTTTTACCTAAAAGGCCCAACATTGATGGAATTTAATTCATTGTCCAACTATTGGCCTTAAATTCAGTGGAGATTTCAGATAAACAGGTTTTTTAATGCAAACCATCTCCTGATACCATTCATTCAATGATATGTTTTTCTGCATCATTTGCATTTTATGCCATCGGCTTTAATGTTTGGTTTTAATAAAAAACAGTTTTGACTATGGTTGTGTTTACACTTTTAGTGAAATCATCAAACTCTCAGTACCCCATCCTCCAGATGATGATGAGTAGTGGTCACCCATATGGGTTCTTCAACAGCCGACGCTGATGCTAATCTTTACAGAGCGAGGAGGTCAATATAAAATGTCAATGTTATGTTGTTGTTGTTGCCCCCATAAAAAGACTAACAGGCTGTAAGGGCCGTCCTGAGCGCAGACATCAGTGGGTGCCAGTTATCCAAAAATGCCAGTATCCGTCGATTAATCAGCCAACCAGTTAATCAGTCGATCGCTATTGATGAGTCCGAGATGAGCTGGGTTATACGATTTTTGTTGGGCTATTAACTATCATAATTAAGAAACATATGAATCTTTGGAAGAAAGCCATCTTTGAAAACATAAAGGATAGAAACAATCATGGACAGATTTTGTAAAAACTAACAAAAGCTAAAATATTATTTGTCTTTTTATTTTGAATGTTCTGACCGGATGTTTCTCAATGCTTTTATGATTTTTGAAACTTGACATTGGCGCTTCCTCTCCTACCTCCTCTCCTGCCTCCTCTCCATCCTCTGCAAAGTGAAACCGCTGACTCTCGGTCATCTTTTTGCGTGCGTGTACGTGTGCGAGCTTCTCTCTGACACACCATCATGTAGCCACCGTAGCGCTGACAGCACAGCTCCATCCATGTCATCTTTCTGAACAGCGACTCTTTGGTCCTCCGGTCCGGTCGTAACATAACCGTCCTGTCCTCCGTGCGCCATGCTGCAGATCGGAGATGAAGTTGTGCATTTCTCGGCGGTTTTTCTGCTGGTGATGGTCGTGACGAGGAGCGCTACGGGGGCCTCCCTGTTCACCGCGTTCCTCTACGTCTTTATGGTGATGTTCCGGTTTCCTCCGGTACCAGCAGACCAGGCCAGGCGCGTCCTGCGGCCCAGGGCTCCTTCAGGCGGCGTGCCGGTGGTGGCTCACCGCGGAGGCAGCCACGACGCCCCGGAGAACACCTTGGCCGCGA